CTGTAGCTTGCGGTATACTGAGCCTAGGGTGATGGGAGGATGCTAATTTGTGTCCTCCCGTGACCCTGGGGAAAAGCACTGACCCCATAGTTCTCCTTTAATTTTGCCCCTTTCTCACAACAGTTGGTTAACTTGCGCAGAACAAATGTACATGCAGTTTCACTGAATGAATAGCTATGCAAACTTTTTGTAACTATACCCCTAAGTGTTTCAGATCACTGTACGTACTTTGTTAATGGAATTTCTCTGCTTGTCTCGCAGTCTCTTGAGTTACGTTTAGAAAGAGCAATTGTGTTATAGTCACCTGTTGGCCAATTAAATGAGAAGATTATGGCTGGTCTCAGCCAAACTGCCATGGAAAAGGGTAAATTTAACCATGGTCTACTGCTTGACTCACACTGTCATTCTGTAGCTGTGCATGATAGAGAATATACAGCATGTTTGCCTGTTGAATGAAAGAACAGTGTAATAATTGCTGAAGAAAGTAAATATTTTAAAGTTATGAATAATAATATAATGAATGATGTATTGGGGCTTAATTAGCAATTCATTTTTTTCTAACATATATCTTGGGATCTCTTAATAGAATTTGGGCTAATCTAGGCAAAATCACCCGGCTGCCATTGCTTCATACTTACCAGCACTTATTAGGCTGGCTCCTAAATGTTGTAGTAGGTGAACACAAGCAAATTAAAATTAAGGTCTTGAGTGAATGTGGAGGTAATACCGTATGTGGAGAATAGGAATGAAGTCAAAATAATAGTGTTGGTCTTCATAGGAAATTAATGTATTTATCAGTTTGTAGTGGCAAATTGAACATTTGCTACTTCACAAATGTAGCCAATGTTACAGAAACCAGCATTCAACATGAAAACAAAAACATATCTTGGTAATTTCTTTCTGAAGTTTTGAATCCATCAGCTAATAATGAATTTTAATGTATTTGATAAATCAGGCAAATAAATTGTCAGCGTATGTTTTGAACACCTAGTGACACTGACATGCAACCTTTTTATAACAAACTTGGTTGTTGCCATATTTTTCATTTAAGTGTTGCTTGTTTTATCCTAACCTTTTATGGTGGGATCTATGGTTTAGAGCCAACAAAACATAAAAGCTTAAGTTAAATATAAACTCCTCAAATAGAGTAAGGTCAGCACCTTGGAACAATCCCATGCTAGTGACTTTTCATTTCTGGAACAAAGATGAAAAATAGATTTGGCACTTGCTAGGAATCAGAGATCAAAGCGGAGGGCAGAGCAGATCTTAACATTGGAGATTAGGGTTTTTTAAAGAATGCTGGCTGTTGTACATCACCAGACCCACCGAGGTGTCTGGAATCACTTTAGACCTGGACAGAAAAGACTTTTCTACAGTAACAGAAATATGTAAACACGTTTTTTATTTAATGGGGAACCATGTATATAAAATGAGTAGACAAAAGGCTCGGTTCTCAAAGATAACACACCAGGAAAAGGATTGTTGTTTTTTTAAGCGACAGTTATTTTAAGCCAAGTGGGTTTTGTTCCGCTTTAAAGCACCATGAATTGAGCCTAAAGTGTTATAAAAAGGAATATTCACATCTCATTTTTTTTTATTTTGATGTACTCAAACTGCATTTAGTTAGGTCTTGTAATGCGGCGTATGGGCAATAAGAACACACCAATAAAAATTTTATCACCTACATGACCACAGACATTTGTAGCAGATGATTAAACTTTTCAGCAACTCATTTATTTCAGCATAGCAGCAACTGTGAGTTATTCTCTATACCTGTTAATATTTTAAGGATTTGTCTGTTAAGCAGACACTGAGGTAAACCATGATGGTTTAGGTGCTAAGCTACAAAAGCATGTTTTTTGCTTAGCAGCACAAGATCGATCCTCTGTTGACAGGTGCCCCGTTTGCAACATATTGTGACCATACACTGGCAGATCTGTCATCAAGAACTACAGGCTTTAAGAGATCTGCCCAAGTTCACTTGGATAATGTGCCAAAGGAACCTGGCATAACCTCATTCACATGCAGTGTAAACCTTCCCTTTTTCTGTGGACAAATTAAAACAATCTGCAGTCAGTCTGAGAAATGTTCCAACTTGTTACAAAAACTCTGCTTGCAATTATAAGCACTTCTGATGGAAACGCTGATTTGTGCTTGTATTAATCCCCTACTCAGACAGACAGTTTTGTTGGTCTGGTAGATTGGTTGGCAGTGTGGAAGCTCAGTTAGTCTTAATGTTTTTTGTTTTTTTTAATGCTTAGTAACTTTATTGAAGTAATAAAGACCATGCATATTATATTTAGTGATGTTTAGATATCAATGTAGAGGTTAACTTGATGTGTATAATCTGTTTGTATGTGTATCTATATTAAAAACCTTGTTGGTGTTTTACTCCTGCCCACTGGAATATTGGAGACTTGCAAAAAATAGTGAGCCAGCCTAATATAGCCCCCCCTACTTCCAGCATGCCTCAGTTTTTTGATAAGTGTCCTAGGCGGATGGATGCCTTTACTCTGCTGAGAAAAGTCTAACCTTCGCTCTAATTTTTTCTTCAAAAATATTTAGGATTTTTCTTAAATAGAGATTCCTGTTACATTACTGCTGAGCTGGTCTCTGTATGCAGTTATGCGGGTTTGCCTTTCCTGACTTTGGAGTATCGTACATTGATCCCACTGGACATTGCAGGATTATCCTGAAATGTTGCCTTTGGGCACTGGGCTCTGCATTGTGGCCCTTTTCAGACCTGTGTGTATGGTGAAAGTTAGCCACGTAGTGGTGTGACCCCGTCTCTAAAGACTCACTAGGTGTGTAGGTATAGGTCTTTTGAGTGCTGATGTTATCCACTAGGTGGAGTGTCATGTGTACTTTGCGCTCTTTCCTGCCATTCAGTGTTGAGGAAGCACCTTCCCACTGCTTCTCCAGGCTGCAATTGACATGTGAACGCTCTTCTGTTTCTGCTACATAGTTACATAGTTAGTCAGGTTGAAAAAAGACACCAGTCCATCGATTTCAACCTATAGAGATATGGAGGAAAAAAATACAAATACTTAGTCACCTTCAGCTGCCTAACCCTCTCCTGCTACCCAGCAGCCAGGTCCCTAAGTACTCAAAGCCTATCTTTACCCCTGAGTAACCTTGTCTCCCCCATGGAGTTCAATCTTTCGTGTGGGAAAGTCTCCCTGTCCTGGATGCCTCCAAATCACGCTCCGCTAATGGTTCAAGTGCTGCATGCACTGTACCCCTTAAGTGCCTGACACTGAAAGCCTAGAATTTTGCCCTTTGCTCAAGTCTACGCCACCTTCTGAGTATTTTACGGGCTCCATACAGTGTGGCCCTCATTCTTGGCTCAGAGCTTGCTTCCATGTCTTCCCCTGCAGAATCCTTATTTTACTTGCCCATGTTGCCACGTCGTAACGAAAGGTCCTACACCTGAGGAGTCGCAGGCTTCTGCCATTCCCGACTGTCTCTGAATTTGTGTACCTGAATCGGATTTTTGTATTTTCCGTAAAATCTTATTTCTGAGTCTATTAAGGGACACATGTCCCACCCCTCTATATCTATGATTTTGCTCCTGGGACTGTTTTTTTTTACAAAACCAAGGCATGCTGGGAGTAAGAGGAGAGTTATACTGGGCTGGTCCACAGTTTTTTGTTTGCCAGTGTCCAAACCTCCTGTAGGCTTCAGCTTAACCTGTCTGTTTCTAAATTCCCGTGTTTCTAAATGGACTCCAAAACATTTATTTTTTTGCTGGGGACTTCAGACATTGAGCTAAGACCATCAGAAGGGATCTGCTCACTATGGCAATTGATCCTCTAGTTATAGAGCATTTGGAGCTCATGCCAGCAGCATTGAACTATAGTGTAGATGAGTTGTTAGAGGTTTCCTGTTCCATTTTCCGTATGAGTCTCATTATTATTATTATTATTATTATTATTACATAGTATTTATATAGCGCCAACAGTTTGCGCAGCGCTTTACAATATAAGGAAGACATTACAGTTACAATACAATTCAAGACAAGATGGTAAGGAGGGCCCTGCCCCTGAGGGCTTACAATCTAAAAGAGGAGGGGGAAATGATACATGAGGTAGCTGTGGGAATGAATTATGTGAGAATGTGAAGGTTCAGTGGTTAGGTTGCGGTGGGATAGGCTTCCCTGAAGAGATGAGTCTTTAGGGAACGCCTAAAGGCAGTCAAGGTGGGAGATAGACGGACAGTTTGGGGTAAAGAGTTCCAGAGGATGGGAGAGACTCTAGAGAAGTCCTGGAGGCGAGCATGGGAGGAGTGGACAAGGGAGCTGGAAAGCAGGAGGTCAATGGATGAGCGGAGGGGACGGTTAGGGTGATACTTTGAAACAAGGTCTGAGATATATCCGGGGGCGGAGTTGTGGATGGCTCTTGTGAGTGAACATAAGAAGCATTCGTGGTTAAAGTGTTGGGCTGCAGAAGCAGAATGCAAAAGGTGTTTGCTCCACTTTATCGCAACTAGGGATGTGCCAATACTGGGCAATTTTACGAGTACTCGTATTAGTGAAAATGCCCAGATACAAGCGCCAATACTGGTGTTTATATTTTTAAAACACGAGCGGCCAAGTGGTTTTTATATGTACTTGGGAGTATTTTTTTAGGTGATTAGGTAGTTATTTTGGTAGCTAATCTTCCCTGCCTCTAGTGACTAATATACAGATGTCCACCTTTTAATTCAATAACACAATGATAAAAATATGAAAGTAACATCAAAAAGTACTTTAAACAATCTGATAATACCAGGCAGTGATCCCACTCCATCATGGTTTTGTAAATATTCTTTGTGTGTTTGTTTAGTGCTGTAAGAAAAAAATGTCTTGCTTAGGTATTCAGGGACGGAGTTTGCAAAATGCAGTTGTGTTCACAGCTCGTTAGGCACAATATTTGTGACAATTAAAAGGTAGTACTGTACACATTATGCCAAAAGGTATATGTTGTGTATAAGCTTTACTTTGCCTTTTTTGTCTTTTGTAGAGTTAAAGCTGCTCAGACTGAACTAGGACAGCAGATTCTAGCTGATTTTGAGGAGGCTTTTCCATCTCAGGGCACGAAGGTAAATAATTTTTCTCATTTTGTTTCCTATTTATGTTATTATTATACTGTGTACATAGAACCTTTCACACCACACCTTGAAATGTCTTTGCCACATTCACGCACTCTTTAGGGCCATTTCTTTACACTAGTGGTGGAGAGTGAATGTAGAGCTTATGACTGGAACAATCAGTAGGCTTCCAGTGGTAAAAATATAATTTGCAGAGAATAAGCACCAGCTGTAATACTTTAATGTTTTCTTCTACTTCTACCTGAGGATTCTACCTGTTGCCAAAGACCTTGTTTAGTGATGTATTTAGATAGTGATTATTTCACCAAGTTTGCTATTATTGAGGCTTTGGAAGAGGATTTTGAATTATGATGGTTGCTAGAACAATAACGTCAGATGACTAGTAAACACAATCAAATATGTAAAAGACTTGAATAGAATTCATAGATCTTTAGGTAAATGCTCCATCGTCTTTATAGAACATAAGAATTATCCTACAATGAATAAATGTTTGACTTTTGCAGCTGACTTTTGTCTTTGACTATGTGTGCTGTCATTTGAGGTTAGAGTAGGCAAACTAAAGGACAGTTTACTGGATAGGAATTGAGCTGTGTGTTGTAAAATATTGCTGCACATTGTGCCACCTTAAAGTGGGTCTGTACTGAAATGGTATTTAAAAGCCATGGTGCCAGCCTAGCTGAGATTGATAAACAGATTAAATAATTACATTTCCTGGGGGAAATGCAGCTCCAAGCTCCCTTCAGTGCTGCTCGCATGACCACAAAGCCAGGCTTTGCCCATATGGTCTCTTCTGAAGGGGAGCGGCAGTCAGTTTGAACTCTGGTCCTCCTCTTTAACAGGTATATCTAGTGACCAAATGTTTAAAAAGAAACGTTACCCATATCTTTAAAATAACAACAAACACACCTTTAGAAATGTTTACTAATGGCAATTTACAAACACATACTTCTAGATAATTGCCGGCTTTGTATTCTTTGCATACCTTGTTTCTTTTTTCTTTCCCAGTCTTCTGACAGTGGCCATTTTTTGCTAAGGGCAGATTAATATATTTCCCTTTACTTCGTAGAACTCTGGCATGTGTGACTAGGACATGTGACTATGCACATCATCTCAGGGGAGGAAAATGCCTTTCCATGAGATCTCATGCGATTTTAGATGAGATCTCCCAGCAATGCTCTGCTGATGTAACCTTCCCAGGATGCAACACTTTGGCACATTACATCATTTGTGACAGAAGTGGATCAGGAAGTAGATTAGCTCTATTTGTAAATAAATGAAATACATGTTTGTTTAATGAATATAAAATAATTTAAATCAGCATGCAGAGCTGCATACTGATGTGATTTTTAGTAAAAGGGGGTAAAGGTCCTGTTTTAAGTTTTTGTTTTGTGTTTTTTTCACTTTACACTTTACAGAAATCTGGTGCAGCATTTGCTCTAGAAAAGGTTAATATATTAGCCCATCTTTACTATTTATCCAACCCTTGTAAGACATCTAACATAGTCTTATGTTAACATTTCAGCATGGTTTTAGTTTAGGTCCATATTTAGGTATAAATTTAAATTTTACTTATTTGTAAATTAATTTATTTACTAAAACTGTATATATATGTATGTGTGTGTGTGTGTTTACAATTGCATGTTTAAAACATTTAATCAATGATTTTGTTTAAAATAATATATTCAATTTTTGAAGCATGAAGGATTTGGCACAATTGTGCTTTTTGTTCACTGAGCTTTGGAATCCAATATAGTACTGAATGTTCTTGCTGGAAGCAAGCAAATCTTAATGGCCACATTTGATGTTTTTACCAGAGACATGGAGGACCCAGCAATGTCCTGCGTGATGCCTGCTTAGTAGCGAATGTCCTGGATGTCCGGATTAAACAAGAGATCATCAAGAAATTCATCAGGCAACATCTCTCTGAGTACTTGTTGCTTTTCCAAGAGAACCAAGATGTAAGCATGATTTAGGTACATGGGGGTTAACACCAGGTAGCTGTAACAATTAATGCATCCTTAAATGTATTTTGTGTTTAGTAAGTAAGCCGTATCAGTACCTGGATTTGCCTTCAGATTGTTACATTCCCTGCACAGTATAGTTCAAACTGGGTAGGGAGAAGTAACAGAAGGAGTCAATCAATTGTGCTGCAATGCAAGGAGCATACTAATAGGAGTAGAGAACACCGAGAGATGAGCTTGCCAGCCTGCTGCTTCTCTTTTTAATATCCAGTCACATGGTAAAGGTGTGTGGCAGACCTGTAAGTGTTACTTGTACTGCAGCAGAAAAAAAACAGGTCTCCTGCTGAGTTCAGCTATTCCTCTACTACCCGCACACTCACTCCCCACAAAATTGCATTTGTAAGTAAATAATAAGCAAGAAGCACATAAGCGCAGATCTAATTTCTATAGTGAATCCTTTTTTGTTGCCTTGGAGTGGTTGTTCTCTTAATTAAGGCATAGTACAGTTGCATAACTTTCTAACAGCAGTCCATTGATGCTCTTTTTTTTTTCATGTGCTAAGAATGATTGTTGCAGAGCTGTATAAAAGCAAATGTACTCTGGCACTGTAACACTTTACGGTAATTGCAGTTCTCTGTAGGCTTGATACTTTACTTTAAACACAGTTAAAATACCTAACCTAAATGTTCGATTCATATTACTGAGAATTTAAAGAGACCCTGTATCCACCTGGCAACTAAACACAGGCAGACAATCGCAGCACGGTCTGTTGCAGCAATTTGAGATTCCTAAACAAAGATAACAGCTAGAAAATCAACACTTTGAGGGCCATAATGTGATATTTCAGGACTGTCCCCATTGCTCCTACCCAGCCTTATATCCTTAGAGTATTTTTTACTGCAAGTGTAAAGAAAATCACCCAAAACCTGCCCTGAAGGCCGCTTCAAAATAAATATTGGCAGTGGGATAACTATGCATGGGTTTTCATTGCTCATCTTGGCAGATTGTCATGATAATGCCTTTCTTTTGGGCTATTGTTTTTCTTACTAGATCAGATCATCAAAATGCATATATAATACAAACTCACCATGTATTTATTTTTGTTGATCCAACAAGTGTTTCCCAATAAAAGTTTTACCATCTGATTTAAATCTCTGGATCCTACAATATTTGTTACAATTTGTCTAAAGCATACTTTTTTTTTGGTTGGTTTGTTTAGGGTAGAGCATGAAAGGGTTTTTACTGCAGTCAATTTCCCCATTAAGGCCTGGTTCACACCTGGGCGTTTTACAGCGCTGATCGACGCGCTGTAAAATGCTCAACATGTGAAAAACAATAATTGCCTATGGGCATGGTTCTCACCTGGGCGTATTTCAGTGCGTAGGAACGCACTGAAAAACGCCCTATGCCCAAAGAAGTACAGGAGCTTCTTTGGGGTGTATTTTCCACGCGTATCCATTAGGATACAGCCGAGTAGCCCTCTTAAACGCGCGTTTGTAGCGTGTTTCTTTTACCGCAAACCGCGGTAAAAATGCGTGGCCTAAAGCGATTTACCCTTTCTATCTTTCCTGGTGATCAGTATCATCAGGTCAGAAAGTGAAAAAACTCACCAGAGTGGAAATAAAGGGTAAATCTTGTGACACTTGTTTCAGTGACTGCTAAGAAGGGATTTACCATACATTCCTTTGTTTCCACAGGACAGGAAGTAAAGTGAAATCTCCCAAATGGGGCACAGTTGACAAAAAAAAGAAAAGAAAAGTTTTGGCTTTACATATACTTTAAATATTCAAGTGTATATTGGCCTCCATATTCCTACCTATACAATATTTTGGTGTTTGTCCTTTTTTGTGTGGCAGGTTGCATGGCTTGACAAAATTGACAGACGTTATGCTTGGATTAAACGTCAGCTAGTGGATTATGAAGAGAAGTATGGCCGAATGTTTCCTGTGGACTGGTGCATGACTGAGCGCATTGCTGTTGAATTTTGCCATATAACCAGGTAAAATGACAGAGCATAATATAATTCAAAATATACTGTACACATTTATTTAAAATGTACTAGAATAATATTGTTTAACCACTTGCTGTCCACCCATTGTAATGAAGTGTAGAGACGGCAGCCTTCCCTATCTGGAACGCGTTTCAAAATGTAATTTTTTTCCATGTGCTTGTGCTTGCCCTCTAGCACACACACAAGCACAGTACTGTCATCACACTGTGCATTGCACGGGTCAGATCACACGTAGAAAGTGCAGCGGCAATGAGAATGGCTCTGTTATACATGATCACTATGACTCTTCACAGCATCACACACTCTAAGCAATGGCAGTGTTTAGCAGCCAGCTCCCACTTTTCACAGATCAGTATGTGAGAGAAAGTAAAAACCTCCTGATTGCAGCCAGCACCCAGTATAGACTACTACCAGTGTACATTCACCCCTCCCCTGTATATGTCAGCTCCATCCTTTCTCTGATCTGACCTGCATATTAACCCTTCACCTCTCTTATCCTGCACATCTGTATATTAACCCCCCCCCCCCCCCGCACCGCC